CATCCCACTCTTGGAATGGAAAAATATTCATTTCAATTAAACCACTGCAGGCTGCAATATCATATATATATATTCATATACACAAACAATATCTTCATGTGACAGTAGCTGTGGTGATGCCTCGTGACATGTACTGTACCTTGTATGTGTGATGGTGCTATTTCTTATCTGTTGTGACGCCGACCACAACATTGCTCACCTGTGACACGCCACTTCTTTTAGGCAAAACTCGATATTCTAAAAATCACAGGTGGAATCATATATCCAGATTCAAAATTAAAAGCAATAATAAATTTTACCAATTTCCCACTCGAATCCACAGACATTGGATTTTCTACTACTACTGTTTGACTTTGAGACTGAGGCATTGACTGCATGTTGACAATTAATGGCATAATCAGAACAAATAATCACAAAAAATAAAAAACACAATCTCACACACACACACACACATATATATATATATATAAGAATAATAGCGTACTGTTGAAGTAGAAGGTAATGTTCCAGTATTGGCTGTCCCATTGGGTCTATGGACAGGGATTGGAAGCCGTCCATTGTTCGTCTACAAAAGACAGTAAAGAGGAGCAAAAGTGATGAAACAGTATAAAAAATACCTACAAAAAGCTAAACAAATATATATCATATTCACATGAAACAAAAGTTGAGAAGTATGAAGGAGAATGACAATCTCATCATTATATATTCAGTATATCAACCCTTTTCATAAGCATCAAACATTGATTGAAATTCCAGAAAGTTAGCGTAGAGGTAGGACGCATAAGTGAGGTTTTAACATCCAATGGCCTCCCATCTTTTAGGCTGGATCCCAATCAATGAAGAAAATAAAAGAATAGCTACTGGACGCGGATGGTAACAGTACGAAATAAAAGAATAGCCAAATATCTTCAAATGATATAAATATTAAGCCTTTCCTGTTAGAAAACATAGGTCATACATGAATATTGTTAGGAGTACCACCACATCAAGTAAGATGAGCTACTTGATGTGGTACTTGAGCCTTGAGATTCTCCCTCCCACCTAATGGACTAGTCTTTTGGGTAAGGCTCTACTCTTGTGTTTAAGTCCTAACAAATGTCTACAAGCAATATACAATGCCCCATAACAAATTTTATACTAAAAAGTTGATGCTCAGATTAACATAATTCTATCAATAGAAACTTACATTAGTAACATAGTGGCAAATAGCACATTTGACTGAGGGAGCTCCGTAAGGATACATGAGGGCTGTCCGGCAGTTCCCACAATGGACATGAGCTACCTGATTAGTTGCTTTATAATGCCAGATACAAATCCCATCAACGGATAGTCAGTAAACAACTAATTGAACAAGAAGCATACGTTATTAAAATATAACAAGGAATTTATCATTGGACTGGCATTAGAATAAGAAAACATAAAAAGATAAAGCAGCATAGCATAGGCATCCATCATCTTGTAGCATGACAAATAACATCTTATGAATATGAGGTCCTTGTGGTAGCTGTAAAAGTGTAGTAAAATGAATTGCACTCATCAATACTGTTACAATATTTACCCTATTTATCATGATTATATTATGTATAGGGTTACCCTATTTATCATGATTATATTGTGTCTAGATTACCCTATTTATCATGATTATATTGTTTCTAGGTTACCATATCATGATTATATTGTGTCTAAGGTTATCCTAATTATCATGTACTCTTGTATCAATTTATTTTTATAGATAGAAGATTATGAGAGGGATCAATCAAGCCCTCAAGAATTATTTCTTTTCAATCTCAAGTTGGTATCAGAGCAGGTTGTTTAAGTCTCTTCCTACTCTGTCTTTGTTGACGCCGGTGGCTCGTGGCTGCCGCCACCGACGGCCTTAAAAATTTCATTTTTTCTGAAATACCTCAATGAGCAGTCTCATTCTGATTTGTGTCTAGTCTCCAAATCTTAGTTGTTGTCCGCAACTGCCTGACACTATTTGTCGCTGTCCGGCGTTGTTTGCAGCTGTCTGACGACGTTTGTCGTTGTCTGGTGCCATTTGTCGTTGTCCATCTAACACTGTTTTTCCACCATGAGGAGCTGTCCACATAGGTTTGTCACCATCAACCACGGTTCCCGACGCCGTTCGCCACTGTCTGCCACTGTTTGTGCCACTGTTTGTTGTTTACCAACGTCCGCCGATGTCCGCTGCCGCCCACCGTTCGCCGCTATCCACTGCCGACCATCGTCTACTGTCGTCTGTTGCCATCTGCTGCCACAGTTTAGTCTGACGACTAGTGGATCTGGATCCCCTCCTTGAGCGAGAGGGTTAGTTCTCATCCAGGCACTGCCACGCGTGCCACATCTGTCCGACGTCCACCTCTGCCGTCGTCACATTTTCTCTGGTGAAGTTAGGGTTTTGTTCGCCTCGAGGACCGTGACCCATCCCTAGTCGTTGCCTCATTCTCATCCACATGTGCTGTCACGCACGACTTCTCTCCGATAAGCTTCCGGCGCGTGTCTGTCACATGCCACCTTCCTGGTGTCGGAATCACATGTGCCACTGTCGTTCGTCTCGCTCGACCAAATAAAAAAAAAAAAAACTCTCTGTTTCAACATTTTACCTCTGTTTCAGCATTGTTCATTAGCCTCCCTTCATAATATTTGTTTAGCTTTGCATATTGTAGCAGTTGTGATGTTCTTGATGACTTGTCTTATTTATTTAAAAGTCTCTAAGGAGAGTCAGTGTTATCAATTGGTTAACACCAAGGAATTTCAACAGTTTAAAGTCAGGGGTTGAACATCCTTATGGACATGAGGGGGAGTCTATTTCTGCAAGATAAGTCTTAGTCAAACCAATTTCACCAGTCCTTGTTAGATCTACTTTTTGATGCTTGGAATAAAGTAGGAATATATGATCTTCCACCTTCACATTTGTCATTGGCGACGTCGTCATTTCCGTCGTTTGTCGTGAGGGGGGAGTATGTTTCCAACCACTGCAATAGGTTTCCAGCACTACATGCCCCATCAGTCAGGGATGGCAGTCCCTGCAGTTTTTCCTTTCAGCCACTAAGGACCATCACCTTGTCAGTTAGTGATGTCAATGATGTCGTGTTGTAGTTTGTAGCTTCCAGCCACTACAGGCCCCAGCAGTCAGTGATGGCAATTTAGTCCCTGTAGGCTCCATCAGTCAGTCAGTGATGGCAATTTAGTCCCTGCAGGCCTCATCAGTCAGTAATGGCAATTTAGTCCCTACAGTGAGGGGAGTATGTTTCCAGCTCTACAGGCCCCCTCAGTCAGTGATGGCAATTTAGTCCCTACAGGCTGCATCAGTCAATGATGGCAATTTAGTCCCTGCAGGCCCCATCAGTCAGTAATGGCAATTTAGTCCCTGCAATGAGGGAGAGTATGTTTCCAGCCACTAGTCAGAGGCCCCAACTAGTCAGAGATGACAGTCCCTACTTTCAGCCACTGCAGGCCCCAATTAGTCAGAGATGGCACTCCCTGCAGTTTTGTTGCTTTCAGTCACTACAGGCCCCAACTAGTCAGAGATAGCAGTCCATGCATTTTTTTCGCTTTTAGCAATGCAGGCCCCATCCTTACTTGATGGCAATCCAGTCTCTGCAATTTGTCTTGTCTACCATCATCATTCACTTTTGATGGAAGTCAACTTTGTCAAAGTCATCCTAATTGAAGGTTCATGGTGCTAGATGAAGTTCCGTGGTTGTTCAATATTATTTCTCCATAAGTTATGAGAGTTTCTTGGGTACGTGGTTTATGAGTCCAATTTGTGTTATAGGACATTCTCTCTTGGGGTCTAAAACATATGTAATCTTATTCGAAGTCAGAGTTACCAACGTCTACTTGCCTCGGACCATTTTACCGAACAAGTGATTTTGTTGGAATGAGTTATTTATTCCAAGCTTGGCCACATACAATGTGTATGCTCTAGCTTGAGGGGGAGTGTTAGATATTAACCTATGTATCATGATTAATTATGTCTAGGGTTACCCTATTATCATGATTAATTTTGTGTTCTAGGTTTACCCTAGCATGTGATATATGGTGTTTTAGGGTTACCCTAATTATCATGTACTCTTGTATCAATTTATTTTTATAAATAGAAGATTGAGAGGGATCAATCAAGCCCTCAAGAATTATTTTTTTCAATCTCAAGTAATACAAACAGTTGCAAAGAAAATGGACAGAATGAAAATGACACTAAACTTGAACTAAAGGAAAGTAACCCATCGTGCAGTTCAGAATTATAATATTGGAATTTTAAAATAGGATGAGAAAATTATTATGAAAGTATATATTTTTAAGCAAAGAAAACAAAACTCAATGCTGGATTAACAAATAGCTGGCTATAAATATATATGCTTGTCATTTATTTATACAGCCAGGTTTTAGATCATTGTGATTAAGATTGTTCTTCTATAGAGCGTAAGCAATAGAAAGGGGGCGAGGGTAAATGTAAAGAATCAACATATTCATTGATTGATCATGAAGGAAGAATTGATGAATGTGGCAGCTGCTTCTTGTTTTGGTGAAGGGGGAGGGGGGATGGGATTCTGACACGGAAATCTATTTTCTATATGATATGTTGGAAAATGAGTTCACTAAAAGAAAATGTTCAACATTCGCAAAAAAGTTGTTTCAGGCTTCAAATCCATGCACTATTCCCATCCTGTTATCCATTTTTATTTCATTTGTGCTCCTCCCCCATGCTATCCATTGTCCAACATCCATTCATCAGCTTAGGAGCCTGATTGCCACCTTTTTTGGAAAGCATTTTAGCAAAACTAAACCTCATTTGAGTCAATAAACCCAATGAGTTCAAGGTCTTAATCACAATGCCTTAGATATATTGGGTTTTGTTTACACCAAATCTGGTTGTTCAGCTTCATNATAAAAAAAAAAAAAACTCTCTGTTTCAACATTTTACCTCTGTTTCAGCATTGTTCATTAGCCTCCCTTCATAATATTTGTTTAGCTTTGCATATTGTAGCAGTTGTGATGTTCTTGATGACTTGTCTTATTTATTTAAAAGTCTCTAAGGAGAGTCAGTGTTATCAATTGGTTAACACCAAGGAATTTCAACACTAAAGTCATGGGTTGAACATTCCTCATGACATGAGGGGGAGTCTATTTCTGGCAAGATTCAGAATCTTAGTCAAACAATTTCACCAGTCCCTTGTTAGATCTGTTTTTGGATGCTTTGATGAATAAAGTACACTATTATGATCTTCCACCTTCACATTTGTCATTGGCGACGTCGTCATTTCCGTCGTTTGTCGTGAAGGGAGTATGTTTCCAACCACTGCAATATGTTTCCAGCCACTGCATGCCCCATCAGTCAGGATGGCAATCCCTGCAGTTTTTTCCTTTCAGCAACTACAGGCCCCATCACCTTGTCAGTTAGTGATGTCAGTGATGTCAGTGCTTGTAGTTTTGTAGCTTCCAGCCACTACAGGCCCCAGCAGTCAGTGATGGCAATTTAGTCCCTGTAGGCTCCATCAGTCAGTCAGTGATGGCAATTTAGTCCCTGCAGGCCTCATCAGTCAGTAATGGCAATTTAGTCCCTACAGTGAGGGGAGTATGTTTCCAGCTCTACAGGCCCCCTCAGTCAGTGATGGCAATTTAGTCCCTACAGGCTGCATCAGTCAATGATGGCAATTTAGTCCCTGCAGGCCCCATCAGTCAGTAATGGCAATTTAGTCCCTGCAATGAGGGAGAGTATGTTTCCAGCCACTAGTCAGAGGCCCCAACTAGTCAGAGATGACAGTCCCTACTTTCAGCCACTGCAGGCCCCAATTAGTCAGAGATGGCACTCCCTGCAGTTTTGTTGCTTTCAGTCACTACAGGCCCCAACTAGTCAGAGATAGCAGTCCCTGCATTTTTTTCGCTTTTAGCAATGCAGGCCCCATCCTTACTTGATGGCAATCCAGTCTCTGCAATTTGTCGTTGTCTACCACTCATCATTCACTTTTGATGGAATTCAACTTTGTCAAAGTCATCCTAATTGAAGGTTCATGGTGCTAGATGAAGTTCCGTGGTTGTACAATATTATTCTCCATAAGCTTATGAGGAGTCTCTTTGGTTACGCTGGTTTATGAGTCCAATTTGGTTTATAGACATTCTCTCTTGATGATCTAAAACATATGTACATCTTATTCGAAGTCAGAGTTACCACGTCTATTGCCTCGACATTTTAGACAAGTTGATTTTGTTGGACTGAGTTTATTTATTCCAAGCTTGGCACATACAATTTGTATGCTCTAGCTTGAGGGGAGTGTTAGAATATTTACCCTATTTATCATGATTATATTATGTCTAGGGTTACCCTATTTATCATGATTATTTGTGTCTAGGTTACCCTATCATGATTATATGGTGTTTAAGGTTACCCTAATTATCATGTACTCTTGTATCAATTTATTTTTATAAATAGAAGATTGAGAGGGATCAATCAAGCCCTCAAGAATTATTTCTTTTCAATCTCAAGTAATACAAACAGTTGCAAAGAAAATGGACAGAATGAAAATGACACTAAACTTGAACTAAAGGAAAGTAACAATCGTGCAGTTCAGAATTATTAATATTGGAATTTAAAATAGGATGAGAAAATTATTATGAAAGTATATATTTTTTAAGCAAAGAAACAAAACTCAATGCTGGATTAACAAATAGCTGGCTATAAATATATATGCTTGTCATTTATTTATACAGCCAGGTTTTAGATCATTGTGATTAAGATTGTTCTTCTATAGAGCGTAAGCAATAGAAAGGGGGCGAGGGTAAATGTAAAGAATCAACATATTCATTGATTGATCATGAAGGAAGAATTGATGAATGTGGCAGCTGCTTCTTGTTTTGGTGAAGGGGGAGGGGGGATGGGATTCTGACACGGAAATCTATTTTCTATATGATATGTTGGAAAATGAGTTCACTAAAAGAAAATGTTCAACATTCGCAAAAAAGTTGTTTCAGGCTTCAAATCCATGCACTATTCCCATCCTGTTATCCATTTTTATTTCATTTGTGCTCCTCCCCCATGCTATCCATTGTCCAACATCCATTCATCAGCTTAGGAGCCTGATTGCCACCTTTTTTGGAAAGCATTTTAGCAAAACTAAACCTCATTTGAGTCAATAAACCCAATGAGTTCAAGGTCTTAATCACAATGCCTTAGATATATTGGGTTTTGTTTACACCAAATCTGGTTGTTCAGCTTCATTTTAGCCTTGCGAAAAAGGCTGAGGAATTGATACTTCAAGTTCAAACCCTAAACACTAAAGTTATACCAAGCACGGTGAGAGTCAAAAGCTCCTAGAAACAATCAAGGTTGACAATACCATAGATCCTACGTTGTATAAGGCAGGACAAGTACCATGAGATGTTAGATCCTACTATCATCTAAAACTATATTCAAGAATATATATATATATACACACACGTGTACGTGTAAAATGAGACAAGGCCCAATAACATTAAAATGGCGATAACAACTATTATATGATAAAATTTAATCAAAAGAAGTCACAGAAACAAGTGGAAAATGACAAATATAAACCCCAAAAACAAGCAATAAATAAGAGGACAAATACATAGGAATTCAGAATAGATGAAATAACATAAACTCAAGTAAAACCAATGGTGGATCTTGGCTACATATTTTGAAGGAACCAAAATAGTTAAATGAAGTACTAAAGAAATTGTGAAAGGCAAAATTAGGTTTTAGTTTGGGTGAAAACAAATGTCAAAACAGAGTAAAGAAGTTGTCATTTTAATATTTGAGAGTATGTGAAAAAATTATGCGCTGGACTTTAACTTCCTTTTGCCCAAATCATCAACATGCCTTTGGTGAAAGAATAATACTTGAACACGCACGAATGAGTTCCAAGGGAAACTACCATAACCTTTGGCCAAACCCCAGCCAACGGCAGCTACTTCTGTGAATGAAGTGGCTGCTACAAATCTTCCAGTACCATAGATAGATAAGTTCCAAGGGAAATCACCATAACCATTTTGCCCCAAGAACCACCAATACTAAGCCCTTGTCCTCTGTTAGCATTACAACAAACTCAAGTAACCAGACCACCTATTACAGCCTGCAACCCTGTGTCGTGTGAAAGGAATCTCACATAGTTTTTACAATCTCATATTCCATCCCAAACGAATTTAGAACAAAGAGAGGTAGGTAATAGCAATACTAGATGAGGAGGACTGAATTGAGGTCGCATGATCTCCCTCAAAAAGAGAAATCTTCTTTCAAATAATCAAGTTGGAAAACCTCCTTGCCCTCAAGTCCAACAGTGAAACGTTTCATTAAGTCCCCATTCACTGCCTTTAATCAACATAAAGATAAAATATACACACAGAATATACAGGAAATAAACAAAGGGTCACCTTAATGTACCCCTCGCTGACCCCTTCACCAGAATTTGGTAACAACATTCATGACTAGCCATATTCAACCACCAAGTAATCCAACAAATTATCACCGCAATTATAAAATAGAATATTCATATTAACAAGCAATTTGAAATCCACCAAAATAAATAGTAAACCACCAACCCTCAATCAAATGTCTGGAAAAATATTAAAAGCAGTACCTGGAACAAGGTTTACAGTATGACAGCAGGAACATCTCACACTTGTAGCTCCACGAGTATACATTAACAACGTCCTACAGCCTCCACAGTAAAGTTGAGACATTTCCATCCCTGCAAAAGCATTATTATGGTAAAGATACGCAGAATAAGCGTGAATGGAATCTGATTACATGCAGGTACTAAATCCAGTAGGTAATATGGTTTGTTTTAGCCTAATCTCCCTCATTTGTTCCAAATTGAATAATTAGCTCATACCAATAGATAATAAAGGCCAGAAACACAACGAAATATAACTCGTAAGTTCTCCAATCTTAAAATTCCAGTAACAGAAACATCAATGAGCTTACCAGGTGGAGGAACAGAGGTAATCGTGTTGCACAATGCACAACAAACATTGGTTGCCCCTCTCGGGTAAAGCAGAAGGCTCCTACAACCATTGCACACAAGTTGGCTCTGCATAGCTGCAAAGTTAAAGACCATTCATCAGTAAAATCAACAAAATTGAAACCATGCAACCCCTACGAGTCACAGACAATTCAACCAAAATCCCCACTGATTTGTTTTGCAAGTAAAACAGGAAACCAGACCCCGAATGCCTGATCCAAATCAAAAGATTCAACACCAGGAATCAAGATGTTCAAACTTTGAATACATTAAACACCAAAAAATAAAAAACAAATTATGCCCCGGTCCCAATATCCAAACAAAACACCCAAAAAAAAAAGTAATAGGAATAACAAAGGATCTGGCAATACCTGTGTCTCCCGACCCTGCTGCGACAGCCGATTCAGACAACCAAGTCAAATAACAAGAAACAAGAAAACAAAACCAATATTATTTTTTTACTTTTATGTTTCGGAGAAAAAGAGGATGTGAACGGGAAGAGAAAAGATTGAAATAGGAATGAAGAAATCTGAAGATATGGGCGCAATAAGGAGGTTGAGGATTGAGATTAGATTCTCTTTGGAGAAAAGGAAGAAGAAAATCAATCCAACCCTCTCTCTCTCTCTTCAATTTCTGCTACCAATATTTCCTCATCGTCTTCTCACCCCACACAACACACTTTCGGAAATTTCTTCAGCGACTATTAGTCTCCCTTTTTCTAAATCATCACAAATGTATATAACATTCCCACCTTTATTTATTTTATTAATTAATGATAAAAAAAACGCTTAAATTCATTATTATTCTTATTTCTATATAATAAAATAAATTCATTTAGTCGATAACCTCTTATTTTTCATTCCATTAATGAAAATTAACCTACCTTATAAGGTGCTATTATTTTTTTTCCACGACAAATGCTTACAAAATTATGCAAAGTATATATTATAAAATCCATGTAAATATATTTTATATGTCTTTATCAACAAATGTGTGTGAGAGAGATACAGAAATATATTACTCTTGTTCTTAACGCGTACGCAATTTTTCTCTTGACAGCAATTCAAAGTCACCTATTTTTAACCTTATCGCAATTCACAATCCTAGTTAATATTTATATTTATTTATTTTAGTTTTTATATAAGAAGAAAACATTCCACTAAAATAAGCTACCAATACTCAAGACGATAGAGACTGATTGGTCGGAAACACATATTTTAAATATCTCTTACCGAAATGTTTATTTTTTAATTATTTGGTAATAATTAAACTTCTTAAAGAGAAGTGAAACTTAATTAAATGATTTCTTAGTCTTCCACTGCTGGAAGATACCTTTAATGCAAACCAAGCAAATAGCTTAGAGTTGTTGTGATTATAATAACACTCACTCCGCGTCCCTCTTTTACTCATTGTTAAATAAAATGAGTTAGCATTGTCAAAATTCGCTAAAAAGTCATGAGTCAATACAATCTATCATATATTTGAGTCTGGCTGAGCTAAAAAAATAGTATGAATTAAAAAAAAAAAA